TGCGGTTAATTAGCTGTGTATCTAATCTGGAAAATGTAGTAGCACTTGTTTTGCAAAAACGTGCTCAAGTATTTTAACTTAATTATGATAAATGTCTAGAGGAATATAAGAGTCTGTGCACATTTACTTTATTTATAGGTCAATTCTCGGATAAGTACAATCCTTTTTCTTGATACTTTTAGATTATGCGCCCTATTTTATTTAATTTGTAAGATACTTTTACTCTTGACATATTGAAATTATTTTTCTGCCCTACGTTCAAATGAGTGTATTCAAAATAAGCTATAGCTTTATCAGTAATACTAGTTATATTACTAGGATAAAATTTATGATCAGTTTTACAAATTGTATTTTATATATTTATATAGCATAAAAAAGCTACAATATCGCTTTGGTTTTGTAAAACAAGGTTTCTTAATTCAAGCACAATTGATATTGGTGAAAAAAGTTATTCCCCAGCTATATATGATTATTGAAAAAGAAATTCTGATATTAAATATATTAAATATAAAAAAAGTAAACAGTTGGGTTGTAAGTAAAAACTCTTATTTCTTAATAATTCTTGCTTTTGTACTGAAATTATCTTTTCGATTCAATTGATCTAAATTGATCTAAATTAGTTAGAATACAACTTAGATTTTAGTTTTATTGATAGTATGAATTTATTTCCTAGCTTTCATCTATTAATTTATTATATACTAGAGTGATTATTCTTGATATTATAAAACTTTAATAATGCCTTCCTATGATTCATAATATTACAATATTAAAAACTTTTGATTACATTTTTTTTAGTATTTTCATATGAATAAATATGTAATAAAAATTCTTTATTGATATAAGATTAAACCATGGAACTACAAACAAGTCTTCAGTTGGTTTGCCACTAAAAATATAAGTAAAGTATCTCAATTACTATGAAACTTCAAATTTAAAAAAAAACTGTGGTTATAATAAATAAAATAATAAAATAAATTGATCAAATGTATACAGTAAATGTACCAATTTTACTCAAAATGTATAATAGTTCTTTATTTAAATAAAATAAAATGTGTAATTGACTTAATATAGATATAGGGTTTAATTTATACTATTTGTTTCATTGTCTTAATTAATAAATAAGCGCGTAACTGCAAGTATTTAAAAAATGATAGAAAAGCGTAAGTAAAGAAACGGTTCGGCCAATCGTCTTACAAAACTGAACAACGCAAGTCCAATCAAGTTTTACAGAATGGCTTTTAAATTTTTTAAATTGGTTCAGCTGTTTTTTTTTTTTTTTTTTGAAAAAACATCGATGGGTGGTCAAATTTTGGGGATCACATTACAAAATAATTGCTCATATCTTCAATCTTTGGTAAGGTTTATAAAAAAAAAAATTAAACTATTTGTTGAAATGTTCTTGAAGATCATGATTTTTGTAGTGATATAGAGTTACGTAAAAAATCCATTTCAATTTTAGTCTCAAATGATAAATGATAAATGACTTGAAACATCAAGAATAAAATTGGCAAGATGAAATTTAGAAAAACCAACTTCTTCGGAAAGTTGATAGACTTTAATATGATAAACTTGATGATGAACATTGTATTCAATGTTCGAATGCTTTTTTTTCAGCTCATTTTTTACAGAAGTGAAAATCGTACAGCTACTATGATTATTATAAACTTACTATCCTTTCAATATTAATTATGAATAAGCTTGATAAGAGCCAGAAATAATATCTATTATTATTGATTACAGCTTGCTCATGAATAAATAAATAAATGAATAAAATAAATGAATAAACAAATAAAACTAACAAACTTTTTATCCAAGGCACTTAAAACAATAACTATCCTTCACATTTTTTATGTATGCAGTTTTGCACTATTTTACCAGAAAAGAAAATATACCATATTTTTTGAATAAGCACAATGTAGTTCATTAGTGGAATTAAGCCTCGCAATTTGAATTACAGAATTCAAATTGTTATCTTTATATGATTAGTTTTATTAAGGGAAGTAAATTAAATTTAGATGTAAACAATTTGTATATTATGTATGTTGTAAATATTTTTTGGAGATAAAATAAAAAAACGAAAAAAAAAGTCTAACATATTTTACATTTAAAGCATTTGCTAAAAGAAAAATATACTAAAATAATTTTAAATTCGCAATTCAGTCCTTCATATTAAATTCGATTGATTAAGTTATGCTTATTTAGTTTTCTGTAAACAAAACTAAGTCACAGTGTTTGATAAAATAACTTATATGTAAATATTTAATATTTCTCGAATATTTCATTACGGTACGGGAAGTTACAGCAATTTGCCTTAAGGCACGATGCTATACACCACTAGTTGATTTTAATCTTATATCAATAAAAAAGATAATAATTATTTATTCATATGAAATACTGAAAAAAATGTGATAAAAAATCTCTAATATTGTAATGCTATGAAACATAGTAGAAAGGCATTATTAAAATTTTATAATATCAAAAATAATTACTCTAGTAAACAATAAATTAATAATTCCCTAATTATTAAATATCCTTCAATTTTTGCTGTCAACATTACAATTTATGAATCTAACATAATTTTTATCTAAGACAAGTACTCTTCAAACCGTACATCATATAAAACATTTTTCAAATATTTTTTAAATAAAAATATCTTATTCCCCCCAGTGCCAATTATTAAGAACGTGTCGATTTTTTCCCGATATCTTTTGCTTATCTGGCACCTGTAAAGGTAGACAAAGACAGACAGAGACAGAGTCACACCAGTCAAGTCAATCACTTCATACGAGCGAAAGAGACAGAGACAGGGACACTACCACTACACTATACTAGTGCTACGACATTCCACGGCGGCACTGCGGAGGAATGCATGAACCGGCAATCGGCACACTAATACGAAACGAAACAGTTTTACACCGAAAGCCGACGAGAGAGGACGAAGTAATAATAAATTTTCGAAAAAAAGTAATAATAAATTGATAAAAAAAATTGATTGATGAAAAATTATTAAAAAATTTGTGAAGCGTATATGGTGGTCTAAGATGATGGATAGATAGATAGGTTTAATAGGAGGATGTGCAGTTTTTGTGATTATAAAAATCAACAACTACTTTATTAATTAACCTAAAAGATTTCCAAAATAGCCAGGATATGTTCTAATAGTTTACCAAGAAGATTTAAGTTCATGATCAAGGTGACATCCAGGATATTCAGCATCCATGATAGTCAACGACCAGATTTATAATCAATAACCAATATTGATTATAACTTATATTGATTACAACAACTTTTTTAAATTAAATCAAAATTTTACCAAGAGTGACTTCCATCCCAAATATTTACCAAGGAGATTCAAGTTCATGGTCAGAGCGACATCCAGGATATTCAGCATTCAGGATTGTCAACGTCCAGATTTTTAATCAATATCCAATATTTCATCCAATATTTCACCAAGAGGATTCAGTGACATTAGGGTATTATCCCGATTTTTTTTACCAAGTAGATTCAAGTTCATAATCAGAGTGACATCCAGAATATTCAGCATACAGGATTGTCAATATTCAGATTTATAGTCAATTACCAACATAAATTAAAACTTTTATATAACATCCTAGTATTTTGCCAAGTGGATTCAGTGACATCAGGATATTATCCCAATTTTTTATCCAATTTTTGTCATTATCGATAATACCGATTTTTTTTGTAAAACAGTATTGATCATAACTTTTGTTTTTTACCCTGAAGATAAATCAAGTGATCACAGTGACATCAGGATATTATCCTATTTTTTTTTACCAAGAATTCAAGAGATCAGAGTGACATCCAGGATATTGTCAATGTGCTTTTGCCGGTAATACCGATTTTTTTGCCTAACAATATTGATCATAACTTTTGTTTTTTATCCTGACGAGTTTTCAAGTGATTACAGTGACATAAGGATATTTACTAATTTTTTATCAAAAGGATTCAAGTTCATTATCAGAGTGACATTTAGGATATTGTAATTTGCCGGTAGTACCGATTTTTTTGTAAAACAATATTGATCATAACTTTTGTCTTGTATCCTGAAGAGAATTCAAGTGATCACAGTGACATCAGGATATTATTCTGTTTTTTTTCTAAAAGGATTCAAAGTTGATGATCAGAGTGACATCCAGGACATTGTTTGTCATTTGCTGGTAATACCGAATTTTTTTGCCTAACTTTTGTTTTCTATCCTGAAGAAAATTCAAGTCATCACAGTGACACATCAGGATTTTGTCCTAATTTTTGACCAAGAATAGTGTCAACAGGATATTATCCTATTTTTTTTCAATTTTTTTTACCAATTTTTTTATTTTAAAATAGTTCACTAAGAAGACAAGATATTATCCTAGAATATTTCACCAAGGAAATTCAAGTTCACAATCACAGTGACATCAGGATATTTCCTAAAATATTTTACCAGGCTATAGGGAGATTTAAGTTTATGATCAATTTTTTACCAAGGAGATTTTATGATCACATTGACAAAAAGATATTATCCTAAAATATTTCACAGATGAAGCAATAAGTTAAAATTGTAAATTATTTTACCAGGACAATTCAAGTTCATGATTAAAGTAACAACTGTTTAGTATCCTTAAATATTTCACCAAGGAGACAACAGGACATTATGCTAATAATTTACCAAGAAGATTCAAGTTTATGATAACAGTGACAACAGGATATTATCCCAGAAAAATTGACCAGGGAGGCTCCAGAATATTGTAAAAAATTCTACCAAGGTGTTTCAAAAGCTCATTATCAGTGTCACCAGGATATTACCCCAAAATACTCCTCCAAAAGGATTGCTGGATATTCTTCTGTTTACAAATTTTACCAAGAAGATTTCGGTCCATTACCACAGTGACATCCAAGATATTATCTTAATTATTTACCAAAAAAATTCAAGTTTATCCAGGATATTGTCAAAGTGATCAACATTCAAGCTGACGTTTTTTTCTTAGAATTCTATGACAACATTAGTGGATTTTAATTGTGTTTATTAAAGACAAAACTGTGCGTCTAAAATTAATAACATATTGAGTTTAACTAATTAATTTGGAATATACTTGATTATTAAAAGTGGACCAATTTGATAAATTGAACCTAATTAATTGACCACATCCAATTATTTATGCACGTGGATTCATTGTTTAGTGTCTATTATTATTATTAAATTTATTATCATTATCTTGTTGATCTATAAAAGTGTTTATAAAAAAGAAAACCAAGATCCAAGCGATAAACTTGAAAAATTTCTATCATTTATAAATCATTTTATTAGAGAGTTATATGATAGCAACAGAAGCATTTTTTTATTATCTGTGCATCAAAGTGCGAAGTAAACACATTTAAGTGCTGAAACAGTAAAAAAAATTACAACTATAAATGGTTAAATTACTTGTAAAAATTTATTTTTGAATGAAATTAAAATTTGCTCTATAAATCAAAACTTTTATGTTAAAATGAGTATAAAATAGAACGTGTTGATGTGAAGCAAATTTGATAAACAAAGATTTACTATAGTGAATTTTTTAAGTGTACAGTTTTATTAATATTTTGGTGTTTAAAGTGATTTCGAATCAATTTTTGCAAAAATGGATCCAGGCTTAGAATGTTATTCCGGAGGAATAATTTTTAAGACGGTTTTGATAACTGCAGCAGTTTTGGCAGTTTTGGAAATTGCTGCATATTTCTTTTATACTAAATATTGGAAGAAAAGACGAGGTAAGAATTTTATGTGATAATAGTTAATTAATTAATAATTATTAATTAATAGTTATTGTTATGTGTCTGAAGATGGTAACACTATGATGATAATGTGGACGTAGTAGTTCTTCTGGCTTGTCGTTTTAGAGCTCTATATTTATATCTAGAATTTTTTGCTATCGTTGGTAGATATATACTATAACATCTGCGATTTGTTTAGGAAATACCATAGCCGGTTTTGTTTGTTTTTTGTTTCATAAAAAAAATGATTCGAGCAGATTTTGCTGACCCGGCGCAACAAGTCTTTATCTCTACCTTTAATTTATTTAAGGATTATTATTATTTGTTTATTAATAAAAAATATATTTTTCTTCAAACCATATATTTGTGCTATTACTAGAAAATACTAGAGTCAATTTTTATTTATCTTTCATAAAAATATGATTAGATCAGATTTTGCTGACCTGGCGCAACAGGTCTCTTTCTCTTTCTTGAATTTATTTAAGGATTAATTTATTTGTTTATAATTGAAGAAATAAATATTTTCCTTAATGACAACATATAGATCCAAAATATATATTTGTGCTTTTACTAGGAACTGCTAATCAATTTTTATTTATCTTTCATAAAAAATGGTTAAATCAGATTTTGCTGACAAGGTGCAATAGGTTTCCGAGAATATAAAATTAGAGTATAAATAAATATTAAGTAAATCCTTAATTATCTGAATTTAATCCTAGGATATTATTTACACCTGTAAATAGCACAGTTTCCAAATTAAGAAATAATAATAGAGAAAAGATAACTATTAAGTATCATTTTGGCATTTATAAAATAAACATTGTTTGAATAATTTCATATAGATGCATTATACTATTCGCAAAATTTATAGTGCAATGCAATTTTAGTAAATTACATCGCAATGAATATAATCAGAGGCTCCCAACCTTTCCAGATGATTTCGTTTGGAGATTCTATACGAACTTCCTCAATATATCCATTTTTCTACCAAGTTTTAATAAAATGAATTTAAAACTTCATAAATTAAATTTGGAATTTTTAACTTTTTGAAATAATGTCATTTTCCTATTTAAGTATATATTTTCTATTCGCATGACACGAATTGCTTAAGATTTTATTTGTATCTTGGTCTTGAAATAAAATCATTTTTTTTATTTAAAGATAAATAAATTATATCAAATATTACCTGTGATATCTATATTAAGCAAATTTTATGAATCCAAAAATTACAACTGAGTTTCGCACTCAGAAGTCGCGAAACACGCTTTGAGCACCACTGGTATGTTATAATAATTATAACAATCATCAATGAATTTATATAAATGTTTAGGCTATAAAATATTTGAACAATTTAATAATATAAAGTCATGCAGATATTTATACGAATTATAAGAGCTCTACATTTTATTTTCTTGAAAGAGGTGCTTTACTTTTATTTTCTTGAAAATGATTAGAAATTAAATTTTTATATAGGGTTTGTGCCCAATTAACGTTATTTGACAGATAATTTTTATATAAATTAATTAATAACAAATAAATAAATAAACTAGTAAAAAGGAAAAATAAACCAAATAAAATCATAAGAGAAATTTCTAAAATAATTTCAATTTATGATATTTTTTTGGACCTGATTTATGTATTTTCATAGTTCGATCACCACTAAAAAATATTTAAAAATAATCTCATCTTAAATAGAAAACAACCATTGGGTTGCAGTATCAACGAAACTGAAGAAATAGTTTCGATTGGTTTTCAAAAATGAGAAAAAAATAATATTCTTGTTAGTTTATCATTTCTATTTAATTGAAATATATTTTGGATACTTCATTTATATTAGAGCAAATATTTTATTTATAAAATAATTATTTATACAATTTATTTAAAAAATATTTGATCAATGTGTGGAAATATATGAAATCTTATAAATATAAATAAGAATGTACTTTTTATTTTCTTCAAGAATAATAAAATATGAGGCTCAAACCAGATTTGGCTCTTTAATATAAATAAATCAGTAAAATAATTAATAAACAACTAAATTTAAACAAAAATTAAATATTTATCAATTCCACGAAAAAAATTCTCTCGTAAGTACAGTAAATCCAAAGTAATTACAGGAAACCTTAAAAAAAATCTGTGACTCTTCCGTACCCTGTTTATTAATTTTATCCAATCAATATACATTTTGTACCATATTATTTTACAAAATAATGTAGGTTTTATTATATATACTTCCGATCACATATCTATTTTTGTACAAATGTGCTAAAAACCTTCATTTAATTGCATTAGCACTTCTCAATGCTCACTTGTTTGTTAATTTGATTAAGAGGAAACGAAATTTCAAAATATTTATTAAGACGTTCATAGAAAAAAATACAAATATTATTGATCCAGAAAAAATAATACTTTGGATACTTAAAAAATGTGCACTAATAAGGAGAAATTTAGAGTTGGGTCTGGAAATTTGATGTCGATAAAGTTGATAGTGAAAAAAAAATCCCTTAAAATATTATAGTCCTACGATAAGTGGTTTTATTTTAAAAATTAATAATAGTTGAAGAAAATATCCTGCGTGCCTGGTACTTCCTAATAGAACGTCGACATGGTTCTGCGGTTAGGGCAATGGAGTTTCAGAATATTTATAATTATTACTAAGTACTTATAGTTATCGGTATCCAGTATTAGTATGTAGTTATTTTACATTGGCAAAATTCTGAAAATTACACCGACTGATATTTTATCTCCCGGTCATTATCTCGTATCAACTACTACTAAACCCGTTTATCGATACGTCGAACAATTTCAAGAATTCCTTTGAACAGTTGTCGGATAGTAATAGAATTTCACTTTAAAAGTGATTAGAAGCTGAAATTTAATTAACTTTGCATGTCTCACTAACGAATAACAAGTCGCTTTTGAACTTTAGATAATCTATCTTTGAGTAGTAAAGCGTTTTTAAATGACGGATCAGTCGGAGAGAAATCATTTACAATAATAGTAGATACAACGTGAAGAAAGAATAAATATTGGTGTTCAAGAAACATTTTACAAATATTCAAAGTAAGAAAATGATTCTATCCAAATTTTATATTTCGATAAGCTCCAAAGAGAAACATATCGATTGCTCTAAAAATCATTTTCAAGTTTTATTACTTTTAAATAAAAATCTTCTTTTAATTATTAATAATAACTTCACTATTTATTTGAAGTAAATTGCTATGTAATCACCATTGATTAATTCTCCATGGATTTAGTGTATTAAAAATGTTATTCTCTATTTTATTTTAAATAGAAATCTACATATAATTTAATATAACAATATAAAATATATTTAGTATACTCATTATTTAAACAGGGAAAATTAATAATTTAGTATCGTGCAAGAAAGATCTATAAATTCTATGTGAAAAATGCATTTACTTACAGTTATTTGTTAAACTTCACGTTATTTTCAAACAATAGAATATAGTTGCTTACCTGAAATAGAAAATAAAAAACATTAATAAATCTGAAATAAAATTTTAATTCGTACGTACTAAGCCTAAATTAAAAAAACACTTTTCATAAAATGAAATTTTTAATATCATTTTTTGATTTTTGAAAATAATATCTAATAATATAATATTACCTAATAATTTGTGAAATTTTAAAGTCTTAAGGTATCTACAAAGTTATAATTTTGAATTCTTAAGTTATTTTATCATTAGATTGTTTGTAAGAATCAGAATTTTTGATTATTTTGGAATCAAGTGTCCCGAAGAATTTGTTTTATGATTTCTTAAAAGAAAATCTTGATGATGTGATATGTAAAAAATCTTGAAAGTATTTATGTATTTATTTATTTATTTATTTATTTATTTATTTATTTATTTATTAATTTTACAAGCCGTCGGTATAATATTTAATATTATAATACGGCTTAAGTCAATATTTTATAGGTTTAATATAATTTAATTAATTATTAGCTATTTAATTACTTAATTTATTTACTATAAACCTATTTATATTTACTTAATTATAATTTTTTTTTAATATAACTAGTTTGTTTGTTACAAGTGTTTTTAAAAATTTAATAAGTAATTTTAATAAGCTTTACAATACATACTTTTACAATATTAACAAATTTTAGGTTATTTTATGATATTTTAACAAATTTAAGTATCTTATATTATTGTAATTGTATTTTAATTATGAAACAAAGAGCAGTTTAAAAAGAAGCAAATGGCGAAAGAAATAGATAGATAGATAAATAAATAAATAAATAAATCTGCTCATAAAAATATATTCATTATTTTTTAATTTTTTAAAGAAATTTGCAGTCTTAAATTTTTTGAAATTTTGCCTTAAAGTCTTAGAATATTATATCAAGGCTTTAAAATTTGATAACATTTCGAAATCATTGTATTGAATAATTGAAATTAAAACTTTAAAAAATGTTGAAGTTAAATATTTATTATAAGAAATCTTCAAAATATAATTGTAATATAAATTTTAAATATTTACTCTTGTATTTACCTTTGACATAGAGGAATAAACAAATAAATAAATTTAAACTAATTATTAAATTAATAAACACTGCTCATAAAAAGATTAAAATTAAAGATATTAATTAAAGATTAAAATTATTGAATTAAATTATTAAAAGGTCTTTAAAATATTAAATGATGAATATAAAAATGTACTATAAAATCTTGATACTATAAAAATCTCGAAAACAAATTTTTAGAGAAATTCGTGATATGAATTAATTTTAATAATTGAAAATTTGTGAACTGTTGGAAGATTATAAGGTCAGTAAAAAATAAAAGCATAAAAATCTCAAAGAATAAGGACCTAAAATAATTGGAGAATGTTAGAAAATCATTAAATTGTTAAATTAAATTAACAAAAAATTTAAATCAAATCTTGAAAAATGTTGGATATTAAAAATATAGCTGTGTTAAGAATTGTTTTTTTTTCAGATGATTTATTATTTGTGAATATTCAAAAGACTT